TCTGGAACAGTAAGGGTAAGTCGCCTGGGTGAAACACCTAACGACGGCTTGGGGTAACGGTGAGTAGTACAGGCAATCTGTCTAGCTCGAAGGTTGGTTGAGATCCAATGACAAACTTAATTGACGAGGTTGAACACAAACCATAAGGGTTGTGTTCCTACACATATATATACAGTTCACCAGATCTGCTCGTTGACGAGCAGAGTCGGTCCTGGCCAATCCGGATGGATTGCGGTTCGTCAACGAGCATGGTACGATGCTCGTTGACGAGCATCACGTCATGCTTGTTGACGAGCACTCACGTGACCTTGCTCGTCGATGAGCTCTGTCACGTGTGTCAGCTCGGCTGAGAGCAATCCCCTAGGCGCCGGCCGGGCGGCCTGCCTTGCTGCACCTTCCCCCAGGCTTCCGTGTTTGGTTGGTGGTTACTTATTGCCTGTTGTCCTATCGTGGGACGTAGGATCGTAACAGATCCACATTACATGCAAAGGTAAAGTCATGGATTCATGTCACCATGCTCCGCTTGCCAGCCATGCAGCATGCCAAGCAACAACTGTGTATCATGGTGTTGCAAGTTATAGAGCTAGCTGTTACAAACACGTACAAGAAGAGAAGGAACTATTGGACCTGGGGACAGCGGTATTGAACATAGGGAGAATGGCTGTCGGAGAAGCTGCGCCCATTGTACAAGCTACCCCACAGCCACATGAGTACACTAGGATAATACAAGTAGTCTAGCATCCCATGGGATGGAAGCAAGTGAGCCATGGGATTTCCATGCAGTCTCACATATCCCATGGGATTTTGGGACAACATCTCATAAGACAGTAAGATATTGTAGGACTCTGTACAATCATTCAAGTATATAGCATGTAGGAACACAACCCTTATGGTTTGTGTTCAACCTCATCAATCAACTTTGTTATTGGAATCTCACCTGCACTCAGGCCAGATAGTCTACTCTATACTACTCATTGCATCCAGACACCATGGTCTTTGACTAGACGTCTAACCCTGATCACTCCAAGCTTTGCTTAAGTGATCAACCCCTTGTTCCTTCACGCTACACTTATCCCTGAGAACCAACCCAACTAGTGCCTACAAGCTTTGCTTAAGACACGACCTCAACACTAGCTAATCTCTACAGCTTTAATATCAGGTGTTTTCAACTAGAGATGCTGTAGAGCTAGATATTCCTAAGTTAATTCTGTACTTTTTGGTTGTTTTCTTAGTGAAAACGCGTGCATTGGCTGATTGTGCACATTGGGTGCACAGGCACAGTATGTATAGGTGAGTTGTGGCAACAGTGCTGACTAATCAATACAGGGTAGTCACATGGGGATAGCGCCGCTATCTGCTCTTTTGCCATCTGCAAAACTATACTGGGTTATCACATCTTCAGCATCAAAATGTCCATCCAAAGAGAAGCTATACCCACAACCCAATTATGTACTTCCTGCTTTATGGTGTCTACCCAAGATCTTAACACCCTCCTTAGTAAACCAGGGGATAGTTGCTGTAAGGGTATCTGTGACAGCGAGCTCAGTAGCAATGGGGGGGTGGTCTTGTAAGATTAATTGCTACCGTTCCCTGGCCATTGTGTGCCCAATTATCTATGCACTCTTGCCTGTACCACGCTAGCGTCCCAATGGGTTAGCGCCATTGTCCCGAAACGTGACAGCCTACTTCACTACAGCACTGTAACCCCGTCACAGTCGCAACGGTTACTCATGGACCACCACTCGCAAACGTCTCCATGCTTCAAGCACCCTCGGTTGTCCTCTTTGTACGATCATCTTCAACCATACACTCAAATGTCATTATTATAAAGCCCCTGATAGTTGGACTGAAGGGCGAGGAACAACGCAGCTTCGACAAAGAGACGCGTTGGGTCGTAGATATCGATGGACATAGCATCTAGCACTTGCACCATCTTCCCAAGAATAAACACAAACAGAAACGGCATCAAAAGTGATGCCAAGACAATTACCTAGGAAGAGTCGACTATGTCACTCCTATTCCCCCAACTATTGTATTCTGGTCTCAATGATGCAGCCCTCACCTATGTGAACGCCGCCACCGATGTGGATCTGAGTATCAGGGTTGCTGTGACTTCATCCTTGAACCTTAGTGCCAATCCCAATGGTGACGTGGGCGCCAATCCCAATGGTGACGTGAGCGCCAATCTTGGTGCCACAACCGATGATTTTGTTGCCTGAACCCTGAAATCTGCAACCAGGCCCGATGATAATATTATCACTGATCATGATGTGCGGCTCGGAAGGCTGCTCCTGTAATATCTCTCTGTTCCCGATCTGCCATGATTTTGGCATTGGAGCGTGACAAGACGGAAGCGGTTGGATGAGCTGGCCCATTTGACGGTGAGCTACTGTTACCAGCTGCGGATGAAGTGAAGTCGGTGCGCGCACCAAAGGATCCAGAGCCTGGGGTTGATCATGCCAGACCTTCTCCTAAGAGCAACGGACCGGTTACTGACCTCATCGCTTCCCCTAAGTGGTGGGTGATGTAAATGATCTCGTTGGCTAGTTTCGCTACTAACTGCGTTCCTGTTTAGGATTGCCATAAAGGGTAGCTGAAGACCCTTTGTTTTCATGCTGCGGCGTCTGGCACGACTTTTTCAAAAGCGCGAGCTTGTAAGAGAGTCTGTTCACTGAATCCGAAAGCTCAGAAGATCGCATATACTCGCTTGTGAGCTTAGCACGGGTCTGGCTGTGTGTCCATATCTCCCAATCGAGGACCTGGGACAGCTACAGGTTCTTTAAATACAGGAGGCTCGCTTAATGGGGTTATAATCGGTGTTGCCGGGGCTTACGTGTACATCCTGAGGGCCAGCGTCGTCACTCCGTGACAGATAGAGGATGAGTCAAGCACTGGTTGGCATCGGTGTCATTTCCTGGTCGTTACTTTGGATTAAGAATAAATGTGACAGCATAAGCGATAGAAAAAACTACTCCTTCCTGACATGAGGTGACGGCATAGAATCATTGTTCCATCAATATCGCTGATTATAGCATACGCCGCAACTTGTGCATCATGAAAACTGTCTGTGTAATGGAACTTAACCATGAGGTGGCGAGGAAGCCCGCCCTGTTGTTTCGTAGCAACTCGTCTCCACCGTGAGAGACACTCCGTTTGCTGCCAAGTGGCATCTCCCACTAAACATTTTCGACCAATCTAAAACCATCTTGCAGACAACAACAGCTTTTATTGGCAAATTTGAAACCGCAGATCTGGCACCACGAAGTCTCTTTGTTGCAGTGTACGTGATCCTACGGACAGCATGGCTCACAGAAGGCGCGGATCCGGTGTCGACCTTGAAAACTTGTCGTCCCAGACCCTATCGATATGAGTCGATTATCTCATCTAGACAGCGAGCACGTACTTATTGATCTTTTAGGACCCCAACGCAGTCTCTCAAGCTCACGTCGATATCGCTCTCAGGACTTTCAGCAGCAAACATAACGTCAGAGCTTCCGGTCACATACGTCTCAGCGCCTTACCCTCAGTCAACTCCTACACGCGCGCGTCAAATGAAGCTACTACAACGGAGACGGTCAACAAGACGGCCTTGAGAGAACGTGTACAAGAGCTCGAGGGTGCTTCGGAGACCAAGAAGAAGGAGCTAGACGCAGCAAAGCAGGTGCACGATAAAGATCACCAGACGCAGGTCAACTTTAAACCCACAGGAAAGCATCGCATGCCACAGAACTCAACTCCGAACCCGCGAAGACCGCCATAGCTGAGGAGAGCGCAAACGAGGCAACTTCGAAACTGCAAGCGGTGACTGCAAAGTTGAAGGCCGCGGCGCGCGATCGTGCATCTGCGAACACTACTCCAATAAAGGACAATACCATGCTGTAGTTCTAAAAGACGCAAGTGCAGAACGTTGAGTACTACAAGGAGTCTAGAAGTGGCGGACGCGCTGGAAGGCGAAGCATAAGTGATCAAAGAGACACTAGAGAAGTACGCGACGGTGACACATGATGTGATCATCTGGTCGTGAGATGATCTTCTGGATGGCTTGGAATTGGGAACACATCTTTTGTTTCTCAGACATTCTGGTCTGAAAGCTTTGACTCTTCTGCGCGCTCATGTTCGAGCAGATAACATGTAGGAAAGTTCGAAAATCACGCTTCTTGCGAAGGCGATCGATCCTCTCTACGCAAACCAAATACAATAATAACCACAGGCTCATGAAACTAAACTGAACTCAGCCCCTATTGCTATGGTGCCCTCAATAATGTCACGAGAAAATAATAGTGCATTGCTCTTCACCTTCACCTGTATGTAAATCTTGCCACGCCAACGACACTACCACCTGCAAAATTCTTTCAGTCAGACACCACCACATCTTAGCTTCATCAAACAGTCACCTTAGGCTCGGAACACACTCTTTTCGTGCCCGAGTCTGGCACTGTGTCGGACAACAATATGCCAATGACCCGCTGTTACTGTATTCGATCAACTGACACATAACGACAAGAACCAAATGAAATATGCCAGCTCGGAGCCCGCTAGTAGAGAGTACCTCAAAGCAGACCCCGTTGCCCTCTCCAAACAGAACGCCGACGTCACCGCCCGAATTGCAGCTCTCGAATGCCGTGAGCGTGAGCTGCTCACTCTCAACAAGCAAGCCGAAGACTACATCGAGATGCTTAAATCAATCCTCTGCGCAGAGCGAGCTAAGACCGATCGAATTGAGTACGCCTTAGAAGTGATGATAGGCGCAGTAGGACCGACCAACGCGGAACCCGTGGAGGAGCTTGACTGACAGCACCGTTTTCACAAGATTGTGATCGCTGACTGGATGCAGCGCGTAATACTGCTAATGCACGCTGTCAGATCTATCATGGAAAAAAGCAACAAGAAAACCACCAGGAAGGAAGGCCCAGAGCATGATGAAGCAAGCGCGGCCATACAGTGGTGCAAGGGCCGAAGTGAAGATCTGGTGGCCGGAACCATGCAGGATCTCCGACAACGTAAGTGTTAGGGAGCGAATATCGAGGAAGAAGGGTCGGGGTCGGATGATACAACCCGGAGGCGGTTTGTGGTAGGAGATAATACCGTTGATCTCGAGGGCTTAGCGTCTACGAGGTTGTTGGGCGATTGATGGTAGGGTGTCGGTTTTTGCGGCTGTCGAAAGCGCGCCCGATACGGGTCAGACATGGCATCGAAGTGTCAAGGTAGTAGCTGGCGTCTTAAGCAGATCTGATGAAGAGCACAGACGAGATTCTGTTGCAGAGATGGAGACCCGTCAATGAAGTCCATTCTGTCTTGCCCAAGATCATACGTTACACCTACTACTCTGCATCCCAACCTAGCACTTAGTCAGACAAGTCTATTACCACACGCCCCTTCAACTTCTGCGCATGCATCTCCTTGAAAATATCCGTCAACTTATCCATCTTCTCCACCCTGTAGTGCGTCTTCACAATTCCCCTCGCCGCAAACTCCACCGCCTCAATCGCCTCCTTCCTTGTCCCAACCGCGGACCCAACAATCCGTAGCGCCTTACCAACCATGACTCCCGCATTAGCAGACGCAATGGGCTTCATATCACCCTCAGGAATGCCAACACAAACAACGCATCCGCCGAATCGCAAGAGGTTCACGGACTCGTCGTACGCACCCTGGTGTGCGGTGCATACAACGACTGCATGTGCGCCGTGGCCGCGGGTCACGGCCTTTACGGCGTCGGCGAGCGACTCGGTGCCGTCGACAGGGATGAAGTGCTCGGCGCCGCTGTCGATGACTAGGTCCTTTTTGCTGGAGTGGTCGATGCCGATTACGCGGTGTCCGATTCCTCGGGCGCTGTATTGAACCTATTGATTTGTGAGACAGGGCTTAAACATGGCTTGGCTGGGCTTGAGCCTTACAGCGAGATGTCCGAGACCACCGCCGGCGCCCATGATGACCACGTGGTTTCCTGACTCAGCGTTTGCTTTGCGAAGAGCGGAGTAGACTGTTACGCCTGCACAGAGGAGCGGTGCGGCTGCGGCGGAGTCGAGACCGTCTGGGATGGGAGTAACATAGTTTGCAGGACCGAGGACATATTGCTGGAAGGTGCCGGGGGTGTAGTATCCGGAGATTTTCTATAGTGACCGTCAGTCCATTGCCTCAAAAGCAAGTCCAACACGTACTCACACCGTTAAAGCAGTTTGCATCCATTCCAGCACGGCAAGGCTCACATGCTTCGCAAATTCCAGCCATCCACTTGATACCCACTCGGTCACCGACTTTGACTGCAGAGTTCTCAGTTCCGGGACCCATCTTTACGATCTTGCCGACTCCTTCGTGGCCTCCAACCTGGCCTGCTTGTGTGGGAAATGGGAGGGTCCTCCAGGCATTGAGCATGACGCCCATATCTGAGTGGCAGACACCAGAGTGCGTCCTGACTGTGATATCAGCCACGGGGCTGGGCAATTGAAAGAGCAGTTTGTGGCAGCGATTGTCAGTTTGGAGATGAAGGACTTCAAACATACAGATTGATCAACACCTCTCCCGCACCCGGCTCTGGCACATCCAGCTCCTCAATCTTCGTCGATATCGATCCAGGCTTGTCGTAGACAGCGGCCTTGTGCTTCTTTGGAATCTGAATGTCACCCATTGCGACAGTTACTGTTGTGTCTTTTCTTTCAAATACTACCACGGAACGATACTGTAAATTCAGCGACAATCGAGGCGCCGAGAATATGCAAGAGCAGAGCGATAACAAGTAGATAAGAAAGAGCAAGCAGGAGCGTCCCAACTAGATATACCCCTCAACCCCCCATTTGACCTGCCGCTAGCCACACTACCCCACAAACCAGGTTGTCAGAACGAGCACTAGTTGTAACGGCTACTGCTTCGGAAACGTCTGGATGTCGGCTACTCAACAGTGGCTACTGGTCAACCTAGCCTTGCCCTGTGAGTGGTTGTGAACGCAAGCCTCGGCCATTTGTAGTTCTCCAAGCTACCCCGCAACGCGTCAATGAACATAGGGCTGTTAGTGTGGTGGGAACTGTGGAACTGAACCAAGCACGATGCTGGAACACCAAGGACGGAGTGCGGCTACATGGAATTTTGCGCCAGAACTGCTGACTCGATACTCATGAGGCGGGCCATCACCAATAGTCAGTGAATGCGAGGGTCAGGATGTAGATTGGGTATGTGATGATGGATATAGATAGCTATGATACACCCAGTCTCACATCCAAACACCATTAAATTCCACCAGGTGAGTTACTGTCAAATCCGCCAGCTCCATGCAACTCTCGGTGCGGTATCATATAGTACAGTCGTTCGCACATGCGCGTTGCGGGCATTAAAAAGGAATAAGAAGAAAGCGACGAAAGCGACGAAAGCAACGTCATCAAGCGCCTTGGTTTGTTATGAAGGGACTTGCAAGCAGCTCGTCAGCACTTGGCCGCTTCTCGTGGTCGATGAGGAAGGTCTGAGACAGGAAAGCTCGAGCATCATCGCCAGCGTTGTCCGGAATGGTAGGGCTAGCATCGCCACTGCCACCGATTTTGAAGATGGCCTGAAGTTGTGTCAAGCTTGGGTGAGGGTGGCTTCCCGAGAACATCTCAACGATGAGGCAGCCTAGCGACCAAATATCGGCTTTGCGAGTGTATGCTGTCTGACGGACGACTTCCGGTGCCATCCAGAAGACAGAACCTTGAAGGGACACACGTTGAGCTCCCTTCTTGCCGCCGCCCAAGGTGGACTGTTCGATACGCTTCGAGATACCGAAATCGGAGATCTTAACAGAGCCCTTGTTGTCGACGAGGATGTTCGCACCCTTGATGTCGCGGTGAATGATGTCTCTTGAGTGCAGGTATGAGAGACCGGTGAGAATTTGGCGCACAAAATTCTGGATGAGTGATTCGCCCAGTGGGCCGTAGTTGATCAGCATTGTTGCAACTGATCCACCGGGAACGTATTCGAGGAAAATGTTAAGATGGCTTTCGTCTGAGTTGGAGCCCAGGTACTGCACGATATTCTTGTGCTTCAACTCCCGGAGCAGGCCGATTTCGTGCTTCAGAGCTTCCACCATGTTCGTCTTCTTGTGATCCATCTGTGATGTACCAGCTGCAGAAGGAAGCTCGACTTGCTTGACAGCCATGAGTTCACCTGTTACGGCATGCAGCGCAAGGTACACGCTACCAAAGGAACCTTGTCCAATGAGAGCCCCCTTCATGTACTTGACGTTCTCCCACGAATCTTGTTCAAGGTATTCGGCCAGCTCATCATCATATTCTTCGCCATCTTCCGCAATGGCTTCAGAGAGGCGCTTGTTGAGTGAGTCACCGTTCTCGGTGTTCTCGGTGCTGCTGCCAGCAAGACTGCTGCCACCGTCGTCAAAATACGATTGCAGAGTGGTGTTGCCGTCTGGATCTGTCACGGCTAGAGTGTCGGACCCGCTGCCATCACCAAACGAAACGTACGACTTTCTGTTAGGCTCCAGTGGGGACTCTTCGTCAAGTGGTTCTAGTACTGATGATGCCATCGAGTCGCGGTAGCCGTGCTGCGAGGGCAAGCCGAGTCTCATTACCGAAAGAGGTCTCAAAGGTCGAGCCTGGTTGCCACCTTGAAGCCAGCTGTCGGCAATGGAGGGTAGAGGTGGTGCGTCTTTCAGGCTAGAAGCCACGCTGAAGTTTGACGCCATTGAGAGGCGAGACGCAGCTTTACTCAAGCGACGCGAGCGACGGACAGACATGCGAACTGTCTTGTCGATCTCATCCTTCTGGACGTCTGGGAAGTAGGACGTCAGGTCGGAGGTAATCAGCTCACTAGGCGGTCGAGCGCCGTAGAACTGCTTGAGCTTGCGAGCACGTGCATGGTAGACCGGCGATCGTACAGAGCTGTCAGGGCCCTCCAAGTTCTGTGCAGTTGAGTTGATGTGTCGCTCACGCTCTCGTGCGGACGCAGGCGAAAGCGGGTAGCTGACAGCCGCAAGAGATTCGCCAGTCAACTTTTCGATCTTGAGCTGACTCCTGTTGGTCGCCGGTACATAGATGTTCTGTGTTTGCTGAAAATTCTGCTGGGCGTAGATACTGGCAGCAGCCGCGAGTTGCTCCTCGCTGGGTTCTCCGGCGTGCACTTTGCGCAGAATCAGCCGCCCTCGTTCGTGCCGGTTGGCGTCTTTGCAGAGTCTGAAGAGCTCAATGTCGCTCAAGCGTTCAGCGAGTGATGGGTCTGGCTCGGCACTGTTAAGAATGTAAAAGCAGTAGTTCTTGACATGCGCCTCATTGAGCGTTCCTTTTCTGAGCGTCTTCAGCATCACCTCCTCAGCCGTCTTGCATCCCTCAATGTTGAGCACCGAGGTTCGCCCACCATCATAGATGACTCGAATGAAGGCTTTGTCCTGAGGTAAGATCATGCTGTTGGTAGCGCTGTCAAGACTGGGACTGGCTCGCACATGGTTTCCGAATCGAGCGGTTTGTGGAGTCTCTGTGGGCGTAGTCCGTTGGTTTGGCGCATAACGGGCGCTGAGAGGGTGGGCACCGTATGTCTTGCCAGGTTCCTTGGGGCTATTCAGACCTCCTTGACGTTGAGTTCTAAGTCCACGGTTCTCTTGATCCACTAATGGAGAGCTAGGCCGAGATGGAGACTTCGTGCCGTATGCGTAGCTCATCTCCGCCGTGGTGATCTGTCGTGACATACGCTTCTCGGTCCGTGAGCTAACGGCAGCTGCCCGAGTGGCAGGGTGCAACGGCCGTGGCGAGCCAGAAGGTGGAGTGTACGCGGAGTTGTCGAGTGTAGCTAGTGATTGCCTGTTCGATGTCCGTCGTGAAGCCTTCTTGAACTCTTTATTCCGCAGCTGCTTCGCTTGTGAACCGATGCGGACACGGTCGCCCACTTTCTTGATGCCCATGTCTCGCAGATGTGTTTGGTCCATCTCCATCAGGTTTTCACCGTTGATGTTGTTTTCTAAGCCTGTCAGCATCTTCTCGATGTAGGCGCATATACAGATGGCGTACTTCTGAACAGCTCGATGTACTGGGCACAATTGATGCTTTTCAGCCAATCAATGACCCTGTCTTCGTCCCAATTTCTGTATTAGTCAGCATTGTTGGGTATCGAACGAGAGAGAACAGCATACCGAACGGCATCAGGAGCGTCGTAGATCTCAGAGAACTCGGACTCTGTGGGCGAGACGAACATGGACTGGTCCGTCCGCGCGTTTGTAGCATGGTTGCGGTAGTTGTTCATGGTGGCGTTGTACTGAGATGTTGACTGCGAGGAACCTCCACCCAGCGACGGCGTAGGGTATGGAGACTTTGCAGCAAGCATAGCCATGTCTTGTGCCCGGAGGAACCGAGCTGTTAAACGAGAAGAGAATTAGGCGATCGAAGTTCGGTCGTCGATGTTTATTATCATATGCACATCATGTACGTGACGTCGACAGCAGCGATAGTGGTTTGGGTCGTGGTACTGGGGTGGGCCAGGGTCCTCGAGGGTGCGGTGGAGTCCCTATACGTCGAACGAGACGGTTTGTGTGCTGTAGCCTATATAGGAGTGTATAGAGCCGGGGCTCACAATTGCAGTGGCGCGGGGAGCAGTTGCTGGAGGCGGCCAGGCAGTAATGCGGTGTCAAGGTGAAGGGCGACGCTGGCTTATGAGGGGCGCGCGGTGGTGCAGCTGCAGGGCTCGTGGTGGACGTCTTTGAGCACGGGGGCGGGCGTGGGGTCGTTGCCGTCTTTATTGCAGCACCGTCCTCCCCGGACTTCTGTGGCGAAGGAAGATGAGGGTCAGCAACAAGACAGCGGTCTTGCTGGCAAGACAGACGAGTGTTGCGCTGAGGAGAGAGGGACGCTTGCCGTGCGCCGTGAGCAAAGCGCGCTAGTTGGTGGTTGAAACAACGTGAAACAACCTGCGTTGGACCCTGGCCATTGCATTATGCCCTCCCCCAGTAATGTCCTTCCCCAGCATCATCCGACGACGTATAATTGCGATACGCGCATCTTTTGCGTAAATAGGTACTATCGCAGTCTCTGACAAAGTACTGCTGGGCCGCACACTCGCCCGCGACAGGCTTGCTGCGCTCTTCAAGGCCGGCCACGGCAGCTTGCTTACTGGTCTCAGCTGCACGCAACCGGCAGCAGAGCCTCAGCCATTGGGACGTTTTCAATGCCGATTTGTCTCTACACCATAGCCGCCGCTGGATGCGTAAGGCTGCCCTTTGTATGGCTATTGCAAGCTACAAAATCCTATCCATCCCCTCGCCCATGGTTGTTGTTCGGGCGCGCTGAAACCTCCGACCCTGGGGCGCAGTGATGCAAACAAGCATCTGCCGGTAAGGAGCTCGTTCGTCGAAACAAAGACGTGTAAATAAGGTGGGACTGCGCCGTCATCAGTGCTCACTGCGCATTCATACCCACAACAACAACAACAACAACAGTGTAGTAAATATGGCACGACAGACAGCAATACCCAACAGACAGACTATACTGAGATTAGAATCGAAGTATGTAGAGTCTTGATGTCGTTAATCGTTGACTACGCCCATCCTGGCAACGATCGTGCTTGGAAACAGGTCTGCAGGCATGGTCAGGAAAATGACGCATGCGCACGCAACGCTCTTGCAGAGAAGCAGACGTGATCGTTCATACAAGCTGCATCACTAGAACAACGCACATGCGAACCGCTGATCGTGCCCAGCCAAACATTCGGACCCTTGTTTTGTCCTACTGACAGCTTGTTGCATTCTCTGGTCGTCGCTCGCGAGCTGTCTGCCGCTTTTCTGGAAGTCAGACGTCACATCAAGCGCCGGGAGGCTGAGCCAGTCGTGCCTCCAGGGTACCGTATATCACCACCTACGCATCATCGCAATCTCGCACCGGACCCGAATTTGATCTCACTTGCATGGGAGAATCCAATCTGCATCCGTGCTCGTCCGTTGCGCTCCACAACGATATCCGTTTGACATACCGCTAGGCTGCTATCACAGCGCACTAGACCACCGCATTGGGTTACAGCGTTCAACACAATGGACGACGACAGATACCGTAACACATCTTACGATGACTACGATCCTCGTGACCCCCGAGCATATGGATTCTCGTACAGCCATGATACACCACATCATGTTCCGCTCCATGGACGGTCACGTTCTTCGTCCAACGCTGCTTCAGATGGATTAACACAGCCTGTTCAGCAACCGCTCAAGAGCGCCATTGGCAATGCTTTCGATCAGTCAGATGCAGCAAGAACCGTTGATCCCGACCTCATTGCCCAGATAGCGGCCGAAGTTAAGAAGTCGGTGCTTGATGAGATCAAACAGAGTGGAATTGCCGGTGCAACGCCAGCTCAGCCTGGCCCAGCACCGCCGCAACAACACATCCCACCTTCGCCTGACTCCACGAGCGCATCCTTCCCTACTCGAAACGTTTATACGCCGCCATCGCCCTTCTATCAAGACACCTTTGGTCAACACCCACCCGCACACGACTTACCAAGCCGCGAATCAACATTCGACGGAAGCACTGACGACCTGCCGACGCCTCGTTACGCTTCGAGCGCGCCTATTGATATTCCACGACGAGATCGAGCACCTGAACGACCAGCCCCTGCGGTGAGGATGGCAACGGACGATTTCACACCCATCGAGAAGATGTGGCAGCGCCTATTTGATCCGGAAGGTCATCCTTTGCCGCGCCTCGGAGAGTTCCTTCGTGGCCTTGCAATGCATCTGGTATACAGTACTCCTTGATGACACGGCGTGCGGGGCTGACGAGAATGCGCAGATCGAAGATTACGAACCGAAGAAAAGCCTTGTCATCTCGCCTGCAAAGATGCAGAAATTCTATGAAGACGTCAAGGTCCCGGATGAGATTTACCCTTGGCAAAGTGAGTAAATTATTCAAGCTCGTTCCATTATAAGGAATGTCATCGCTAACGTTGATCAGCGATATTTGGAGAGATATCTTACTCCGCATTGTCCAAGGTTTACCAAAGCATGCGTTGCCAGCACCACCTCATCCAAGAGCACCCTGCCGAGCCGCCTTACATCCCTGCCTTAACCCCACAAGGTTTTGAGGAATGGATGACTGCCATGATACTGGCTTATCCTGATACTGAATACGAGCGGATATCAAAAGCCGTACTGGACATGCCCATCAGCAACGCGGACAACGTGAAGGAAAGGTTTCCCAAAGAACTTCCTCGGCGCATGTTCCCAAGAGCTGAGAACATACAAGCGCAACAAAGATGTGCTGCGAACCTGTCTGCTGAAGGTGTCGGCCCGCTCCGCCAAGCGCCAAGTTTCCCACCGCCACCACCCAAGGTCGACGCCAACGCAGCCGGCCCGAGCCTGGAGCGTGAACGGAGTCCATACGGCGGGCAGCCTGACGTGAAGAGCTCCGACTCTGAAGGCGAACACGAAATGGGTTTCGTTCCGATAGAGCGCCAGAGAAAGCCGTACTCGGCCACACCAAGTGGCGGCAAGATGTATGATGATCTATCCCAAAGCACACATTCTGACACCACATCGACCGGCCAGCGAAGGCGTGCACAGTCGACAGCGAACCAAAGCCAGTGGGCACCACCACCATCAAGCGACACATACGATCAGCAGCAACCACGATCGAATACCCGTCGAACTAGAAGTCCCAGCTTCTCAGGCTACGGCACGTACTCCGAAGGCAACATAAACGATGTGCCCGCCAGCTACTATTCATCAAATCTGCACAACGTCCAGGATGATGGACGCCGCCGCAGCAAAGATGAAGATTCGAGAAGACACAATCGTCACAGACGAGGCACGGTGGGAACAGACAGCTCGTACGATCCGCAGCCGCGAGCAAGTTATGATGACTACAGGGATCGCGCTGGTGCCGGTGGGTATGAAAACAGAGGCTACGATTTCCGCCGTTACTGAGCTGGAACCCCTCGTCGGCAGTCAAGAATGAAGGCCCTGAGTGCTGCACCTCTTTGCAAGAAAGACGCCACGAATCATGTTACGTTGTCGTTAGTATTCACTTACAATTCTTGTTGGAGTGACACCCCCCCCCCCTGTACTTGTTGGATACCCTTCGTTTGTTGTATACTGGAAGATGATTCTCCGAGGATTGTAGACGTTAAAGATTTGGGCAGGCTCTATGTTCTGTAAATGCACAAACTTCGACCCCTTTTAGTCTTTAAGTATGGGAAATGTGACTATGACTGTATATGTTTAACGCGAGGGCCGACATTCTACACACATGGTCATAGCGCCAGCCACTTAACGCGTCGGAGAAGGCGCGACGCGTCGAAGCCTCACGACATCATCGAATCTCCTAACACTCCATACAATAATTTAAACATGGCACTCCTCGTAGACAAACATAGGCCTCGGAATCTCGAGGCTCTGAACTACCACCCAGAGCTTTCTGAGCGCCTCAGAGCTCTTGTAAGTACTGCAAGAATATGCGCAAGTCCAGCGCTGACAATTGGAGCTTCACAGGCACAAAGCGGTGACTTCCCTCATCTCCTCGTATACGGACCGTCCGGTGCAGGCAAGAAGACCCGCATTGTCGCAACGCTCAAGGAACTGTACGGCCCCGGTGTCGAAAAGATCAAGATCGATGCCCGCGTCTTCCAAACAACCACAAACCGCAAGCTCGAGTTCAACATCGTCGCATCCGTATATCACCTCGAGATTACGCCTTCAGATGTTGGCAACTACGACAGAGTGGTCGTGCAGGACTTGCTCAAGGAGGTCGCGCAAACACAACAGGTCGATCTGAGCGCAAAACAGCGCTTCAAGGTCGTCGTGATCAATGAGGCAGACCACTTGACGCGAGATGCGCAAGCGGCGCTGAGGAGAACTATGGAGAAGTACAGCCCTAACCTTCGGTTGATTCTGCTGGCGAACTCTACGAGTAACATCATCGCACCCATTCGCAGTAGAACACTGCTGGTCAGAGTTGCAGCACCAACAGAGGACGAAATCTGTGGAGTTCTGAAAACTGTAGGAAAGAAGGAAGGCTGGGGCGAGGTCGTACCTCTCAACAAAAGAATTGCGAAGGAGAGCGGGAGAAATTTGCGGAAAGCCTTGCTCATGTTTGAGGCTGTCCACGCACAGAAGTATGTCTGCCAGTCAACTGATCTGAAACAGCTGCTGACCATGAACAGCGAGAAAGTCACAGACCAAACACACATCCCACCTCCAGACTGGGAAGCACTCATCGAACAGATCGCGAGGCAAATTGTCGAAGAACGAAGCCCACAGCGATTATTGCAGGTCCGCGCTTCGCTCTACGATCTCCTCTCGCACTGCATCGATTCGACAACGATCATCAAGACGCTCACCTGGAAGCTGATACCGAAGACGGACGACGCGCTCAAACCAGAGGTCATAAAGTGGGCAGCTTTCTACGAGCATCGCTGCAAGATGGGCAGCAAGCAGATCTTCCATCTAGAAGCATTTGTTGCGAAGTACATGAGGTTATACGAAAGGTATGCAAAGCTCTTTGATCGTGGATATAACAAGACCATGACGCTGACGTTCGCAGCTACTCTATGGGCATCGACTTCGACTCAGCGTGATGAACCAACTCTTAGCCATGCCAATGGCAACAATATGCCAATTGAGCATTTTCGTATGGGCTTGCATGCAGCAGAAAGGTGTTTGGCGTTAAAGTGGGGACGGGCAATGTCACTACGTCATTCGTCGCATATGTGTTGAGCTTCACCACGAGCTCCATCATAGCTTCAACGAACATCAATTTCACCGACAACTCACCTCCACATCTACTTCCTTGCTCCCATTGTGCGTGTTACTCATAACAAGGCTCAATTCACTATTCCACCATGTCTTCAGGCCTCATGGACACCGAAAAGGGCGGCGAGCAGACCCAGTACGAAGCCGAGCACACAGACATGCTCCCGCACAAGCAAGAAGCCGGCCAACTGGGCGGTACTACTCCCTATACCCTACACTACCTCTCACACATACCCTCATACATACTAACGCGCGCTATCACAGCTTCGGCAGTCCAAGGCGCAAGCACCGAGCAGCCCACACAGACCGACACCAGCAAGACCAACGAACCCAACACGCAGGGCATCACACCGGCGGATAAAATTCGATACGGTCAGAGTATTCAGGAGGGTGGTATGGGCGGCAAGACGAACACGACAAGTGGTGAGGTGGATAAGCCGACGAGTGAGGATGGGGCGGCGAAGGAGAGGAGGGAGCAGGGGTATGGAGGTGGAAAGGATATGGATCGGACTATTGGTGCTTGAGTGGTGGAGGATGGTAACCAGTTACTGCGTTCACAATGCGAGAGAAAGCATATTCAAAATGTAGCGGTCGACCGAAGAACATGACTTGACAACTCTGTTCACTATCGTACAACTACTCGTGCGTCGATGCTTTGTCCAAGCGCAGTCTACCATCCCAAACGCCTCCGCTATGCAAGCAAAAATGATCTATCTGTATCGCACAGGATATCTGAGTAGAGAAGATGCACAACGTACATGAAACACAAGAAACGACCACCATTTCCTCCCCCGCCAACCTCAGCGACTAGCAACGTCATCAGCCCTGGTCTCTGCCTTCGCCAGCTTCCTCGCCAGGTTTCTCTCCCTATGAATCAAATCCCCCAACGCATCTCCACCCCTCGGCTTGATCGCTCCTACACCAATAGCATCGCTTACGCTCTCACTCGAACCCGCGCGCGCCCGTCCCCCACCCCAGGCACCCAGGCCCCAGACGCTCTTCTGGTTGCTGCTCACAATGCTGCCGGGCCCGTGGGCATACATCGACACCCGCTGTACGCGGCGCAGTTTCTGGAGTCCGTAGATGGCGACCAGCGTACCGAAGATGGTGCACCACCCGGATACGCCGTAGAAGCCGAAATCGGATTCCTCGATGAAGTTCTTCAGGTTCATGCCGTAGAGCGCGGCGACGAAGGTGCCGGCTGTGATGGCCAGGGTAAGGATGGAGAATTTCAAGTCGAGTAGCATGAGGGAGTTGCGGTTGGCGTCGAGGATGGCTTTGACGCTATACACCGTTAGTTTACAAACCCTGGTAGTAGTGGAAAAGGGGGGGGGGGTGCGTACATTTCCTCCGTGTTGCGGATACTCGACACCAAATTTTCAGCCGCCTGGACGATTTCATCCGCGACTTTGTGGTACGATTCCAGCAGCATCTCGACTTCAGTATGGTCGTCTTCTTCTCTTGTCTTGCCCTCTGCCTTCTCGCTGAGATACATGGCGCTCAGATCGTCGTCCGCTTCGAGAAGCTCTTCCAGCGCATTCCTCACCAATCGCGCTTTCTGCTCAAAACTACCCAATTTCTTGGAGTAGATGAGCAGATAGCGCAGCTTGTCGCGGTCGATGTCTTCCTCCAGCTCGCGCAGCACGCGCACGACGGGCTCGCTGACACCTTCGAATTCCTTCTCGAGCGAGAGCGTGACGCTGATGAGCACAGCTTCGAGAGCACGGAACTCGTACGCCAGCGTACCGTTTGCAACAGATTCTTTCTGGCGCAGTTTCAGATCGAGGTCGTACATGAAGACGCTCTGCGATTTGGAGTCTGTGGTGCCGTAGGCATCGAACACGAGGACGCGGTTGTGCTTGAGCAGGACGCGGAGGTTCAGGAGGTTGATAAGGATAGCGGACGGGCGGACGAGGATGTGTGGGAGGAGTGAGGAGTCGATTTTCCGGAGATCTCGTGGGAGCAAGCCATATTTTGCGATCAGCTCGCTCTTCTTAAATTCGCCGCTGACGAGGGTTACGTTGCCGTGCTCGTCCAGCTCAGTGCAGCGCATTTTCAGCTCGTTGGCGGTGCGCATCATGCGTCCTAAGCTGCCACCGTATCCTGAGCCACCTGTTGAACCCTCGTCGGTGTTGTTCGATGGCGGTATGGGCGGTTGCAGAAGGCCTCGCGCATGCGCATGCTGTTTCTTCTTGAACATGCTGGGCCACGCACTGCACGGGCTAGACGTCGAAAAGCTGCGCGTGCTAGACACTGATGGCTTCGTCATGCATGGCAGTGACTGTGTGTAGGCGCGACGCTGCCTCTTCAGACCGGCGCATTGCGCTGCAGGCAATTCGAACGCATGGTTGACCTGGGCGCGCAAGAAGCTCAGGACCGACGGCGATGGAGCGGCGACTTTGCGAAGCAGATTCGGCTGCATATCTCTCCGTTGGCAGGGTGGTGTCCTTCGTTATTGTCGAGCCATGCGGTTCGTTTCGTTGTTTGGCTGGTTCCTGTCAAGCTTCACAGGCAAGGCTTCGCAATGGGGAAAATCTGGGTTCACTGGTTGACGTCACGTGCGAAACGCGACCTTGCATGTTGAAGTGCACCCTTAGGCCTGACCAGTACACTAAAATGTCCTCGACACCACTATACAATGCTTTGATTCGCACACATCATATCACGTCACGCAAGAAGGTCGCAAAACTGCGCGCAGCAGCTTCAAATCACAACGTCTACGCTTTACTCCGCTATGGAGGATGTCCGGGTGTGATGTACTGTCAAGGCTCTGAGCCTGGAGTGCGGGACTGGGTTGCAGATGTTCAGAGATTGCGCTATAAGGACTTTCAGCTGGCGAAGAAGCCTGCAGTGAAGCAAGTGGAAGGTCAGGCCAATAACAGCAAGGTACCTTATGGAAAGCTAGAAGAAATGGATACTGTGAAGGAGTTTGGGGCACAGATGGAGAGCTTTGGTGTCTGGACCTGGTGGAGAGTTGGCATGGGCTACCAGAAAGACGAATCTCAGCCCTGAAACTCGATATCAATGCCTTACTTTTTGCACCACACGTATCGTTACGTTGACATCATGTTGACGGGCGAGCAGCTGCTGAAGTGGCAAAGAGCTCGAGAACATGTCAACGGACAGCAACACTGCTCCACATGTCGTTCATGAAACGATTCCTGAGCCACATCGATACCCTGACCAGAACAACAACAATGTCAGCGCCAGGCACTTCTCTCTCCTCAAGCTCGCGCCCCTCTACACCATCCAAGCCAGCACGGCTCGAACACTACCTCGGTCTTTCACATGCACCTCATTCAAACAAGCCATGCATCGTCAAGCCCATGTCCATCACAGTCGAAGACGGACCAGACGGAGCAGTACCAGGCTTCCTGCACCTTCCGCCCACTGCTTCAGCAACACCAGCGTCCAACACAGCCGCCATCCTTCTTTCGGGCGCAGGCGGCGGCATCGTGGGACCATCATCCATCTACCTCTCGTTAGCAGATAAACTAGCTTCGCTCAAACAGCCAGTCCCAGCACTACGCCTCGACTACAGATATCCAGCGCGCAACAAGTACTGCGTCAGAGACGTGCTGTCTGCTATGGACGAGCTGGAGGGGAGCTACGGAATTAAAAGTTTCGTGCTTGTCGGCTGGTCGTTTGGTGGTGCCCCAGTATTTACCGTTGGCGGCTCTGACAAACGTGTTTGTTGGCTGTGCGACCGTCGCCAGTCAGACCGCCGAGACAGAGGGCATTCGCACATTGTCCCCAAAGCCGCTTCTATTGTTGCATGGGACTGGGGATCGAACGCTGAGTAAGAGCTGTTCGGAGAGCTTGTATGAACGGTATGGGACGAAGGGCGATAGGTATCTTCACCTGTTTCCCAACGACGACCATGCGCTTACAAGAAACTCGCTGGAGGCAGAGCAGCTCATTGGGGGCTTTATATTGAAGTGTGCTGGAATTAAGGCGGGGCGTGCCGATGATGGTGTTCTTGCGGAGAAGTTGGTGAAGGACGACGAGAAAGTGGAGTTGATGGAAAAGGGAGGCGATTTGCGACGCAACGAAAGTGTCGAGTGATCATTGGCAACCATCGTCCAAAGTCAATCAAAGTACAATTAATTCTCGAACGAACAACCACAACCAACCGCACATCCTCGACGAATTGACACTCGCGGTGAAATGTTAAGGTGGTTTCACGGTCTGCAAAGGGTGAGCAACACTCCGAAACCCAGATCCGACAGCACAACAGCATGACAGCACGACGGTAAGCAATGGAGCCTATAACTTGCCACGACTTCAACCATAACACGACGCACACGGTGTGTTGTCTTCAGTCCCGGCCTTGTGGTTGAGCTTCCCCACTTCGGGACCGCCGCATTCCGCACTACCTTCGTACATGACGCTCGTACACCTCCTTTGAAAACGAACATCGTAACCAGCGGCTACGACGTACGGCAGTCTCTTTCAAAAAGGACGTATAACGATCGGGGACGCTCAAAACTCAATCGTGAGGTACATACTTCGAGTCTCAAAAGAACACGTTATCCCAACCACAATGGCGTCGCTACGAGTTCCTTACAAAGCAGTCGACAATGTCGAAATTCCCACTGACATCTACCTGCCCTCAAATGCCTTGTCCAGGCCTGCGCCTGTCCTGATCATGTGAGACCATTGACCATTGTATGAAGTAGAGACTGACAGCAACATCAGGATCCATGGTGGCGCATTTATGCTCGGCCACGCAGGTATCAACAGCAAAGACCAGATCCAAGACTGTACAGAAAGAGGTTGGATCGTACTTGCAATCGAGCACCGACTCTGCCCGGGTGTCAACGTCTTCGAAGGACCCATGACCGACGTGCGTGATGCCTTATCATGGGCGCAAAACGGTGGTCTTGCAAAGGCGCTAACAGAAAATGGGAAAAATGTCAATGTCGACGCAGAGAGGGTCATGGTGATGGGCACAAGTTCCGGTGGTCATCTCGCTTTATCTACGGTACACACCCTGTCCCTACCATTTATCTTCCCATGAGCTGATGAGGAGCAGGCATGGAACGCCTACAAACCACCCCTAGCAATCCTAGACTTCTACGGCGCAAAATGTTTCTCTGATCCCTTCTGGACCAAGCCAATGCCAGACATGCCCAAGCCCTTCTACGACCCTCTATCCGAACCAGACGTTAAAGCCGTGTACGACGAAAAAGTAGTTTTCATCGGCGGCATGTCTCTTGAGGGCCAGGCTTCTGATCCAAACCACCCGAACCCTAAGCAACGACAGGGCTTTGCTATGCATCAGATTGCAACAGGCAACGTTATCAAGGTCATATGGCCGTCTTACCCCCACAGTCTGGAGAAGATTGATCCGGTTCTGAATGTCAGTGAGAAGTGGCCGCCTACGGCTATTGTGCATGGCACGGCTGACGCTACGATTCCGATGCGTTTGAGCAAGGATTTCGAGAATAAATTGAAGGGGAAAAGTGTGAAAACGGCGTTCTTTGAGGTTGAGGGCGAGCCGCATACTTTTGTGGGGAAGATGGTCAAGGGGAGTCGGACGTGGGATACGCAGAGGAAGGGGTTTGATTGGTTGGAGGAGCGGTTGAGGGAGTCGTACAAGGTCTAGAAAGATAGTGTTGTTGGATGTGTAACGTTCGTGCATGTTGTTCGATGTTAAGTTGGCCATTGTACGTACGCATCTGGGATGGACGAATTCTAGTAGCAATGTAGTCACTTCGGTCTGGAGGTTCACATTCGTACGAGCAGACAGCAGACGATCGACTGCTTGTGGTGGGAGTGAATGTAGTTGTTGTACGATGGGATGCGGCAGTTGATGTGTGTCCGGGCCAGCGTAGGTGGACGGTGGACGCTCCGGGCCCTGACAGTCGCACCATGTGGATTCATGTTACACAACCAAGGGCAAAACAACATCGTTCTTGCATCACGAACATACGAAGGAAAGCCTGACAGATAGGCATCAAAATATGCAACCAATAGTTGCAACTATCGCTCCCGTTTTTCACAGTTGCACCTCCAATCTAGCCGTAGACTGAGGCTGTTCGTGGGGTTATGAATACGGGCATTGCGGAGGTTGTCCGCTCGAAGTCTAGACAAGCATCGCGACCACTCTCGCAAAATGCTTGACCCCTGACACTGCAGTCTGGGGTGCGCGGGGTAAATGTTTGCGAAATCCGAGGAGCCATCATCTTAGCTGCAATTGGTTTAGAGGCTCTCGATCCTGAGGCTCAGTAACCCGTGATTGGGTTGTGGAAGGCGGAACGGGTTCGTACATTTCGTACATTGACTTCTTCCGATACGTGGTACTTATCAACCCAGATCGTCAACGCTTGGAGTCTTCCATTGCTCACTCCTCTGCCACAGAAGGACAGCTCCTACTTACCTTGAGAAGGAGATTATTCATAGCAACTGGACTACTACCTATTCCACCGGCATAGCCACTAAAAAAACATCGGGAGTTTAGCTGCTATTACGCCAACCACACCGAGCTCAACAGCTCCAACTACCACATTGAGCACCACCACAACCCAGCCCCCCACCAACATGGCCGTCTCCCAATCCTCAAGCATGCCACGCGTGCAACAACCCCTCGGCACCCCCTCACCCTACATCATCCCCGCCTACGAAGGCGAAACAATCACAATCCCGGGAACCAAGTCAACAGTCCGCATTCTGGCCTCCGCAAAAGAAACAGAGGGCCTAATCTCAGTCTTCGGCATGGACGGCGCCGTCGCCGATCCCCCCGGTTTCCACTACCACAACTTCGCCCATGACGTGTTCATGTGCACGAAAGGGCATCTGAAGGTCTGGGCGGGCGATCGGTGTAAGATTCTTGGACCGGGGGATTTCTGCTACGTCCCGCCGAAGATCGTGCATCAGCCACAACTCCTCGATGACGGGATCAACGAGACAGTTGGACTTGTGACGCCGGGGCAGTGGGTAGATTTCTTCCGCTTCGTATCACAGAAATACGACGGTGTTGTCGCCGACGAATTCGACACACGGAACCCCGGAGACACTTTTGGCCCCAAGTTCCGCGAGATCAAGGAGAAGTACGATGTCGTATTCCAGCGGGAGTTCCAGGGCGCTGAGGTCAGTGAGTGGACCAAGGAGGATAGTGTGCTGCCGGATGAGGCAGGCAAGGAGTACTACCTCAAGGCTAACACGGGGCCGTGTTATTTGTTGGAGGGCGTGTTGAGCAGGCCATTTATTACGACGAAGCAGAGCAAGGCGCCGACGGGGAACTTTGCGATTACGAGTATTGAGTCGAGTAATCGCTTGCCTAACTCGGTGTTGGGCAAGCCGTTTACGTTTGAGAAGACACATCAGGTTTACCATGTTTTGGATGGAGCTATCAACGTCACTGTTAACGGGAGTGTGAACCTGGTTCGTGCAGGAGAAACAGCGTTCGTTCCAGCGGGCACTGAGATCTCGATCGAGTTCGTCGATAGGTATGTCCGCTTCTGGGCATACTCGAGCGGTGATGGGCTGGAGTCGCTGATTGCGGACGCTGGCGGCAAGTTCGAGGGCACCATAGTGCCGGATAAGAGCCGCGCTCTTGACACAGAGGCTTTGAAGAAGGCGGCGGAGAAGTACAACGTCAAGATCTCATCATAGCATATACATACATAGCAATACCCATTCATGACACACATGCCCACGTGCCCAAACCTGCGGATAGCAATAGCATGCACTCTCTGATCAGATTGTACCTTCCCCACGTCTTTACCAACTCATGAGTGTCTGCCTTCTCCTTGCCCGTCGTAGCTCTACGCGACAGCTCGGCATTAGTACTCTCCATCAGAATCTTGGTGCATGGTGCAAGTCCAAAAGCAGCCACTGCAGCAGCAGCATACAGGTTCCTCTCTCGAGATTCGACACTAGGCCCGTCGCAGTCAAGCCTGGTGTAAGTGTAGTGTGATATGCCAGTGCTGCAAACCCAGCGGCAGAAGTCATAGTGAGTGAGACGACTGACGTGATGCCATGGTCAAATAACGTCTTCCATTGTGCCGCAAGGGTTGCTGAGAATGACTGGAGGAGTGCAGGGAGAGTGACGATTGTTGTGCTTAGATTTGTGCCTGGTGATGTCAATGGTGAAGATACTCCTGACTGCACCGCGACTGACCGGCTGCAAGTGTGATTGCAAGCATACTGTAGATCTGGAGTATGGGCTTGAGACTTTCCAGGGTGGATTGTGGAGACATTTGGGGCAGTTTTCTTCCGTTGTTTAGTTCTTGCACGGTGAGTTGCACTTGCTCCAAATCTCTACGACCCACGGGTTCTTATGTGCACTGACAGGCGCCCCGTAACGCGCGAAACCCGGGTTGCACTACTTATAGGTTCACCCGCGACCGATGCAGTGTTACGGCCGGAGGACAAGCCTTGACTGTAGATTAGCGAATGCCGATCTGGCGCTCGCTAACTCCTCACTCGGTACGTACAGTAAATGCTGAGCGATCTGCTTCCAACAGGCACCAACCCAATGTGAGATGGTTGAGATCAAATCGCTTTTTGAACGCCTCTAAATGGTATCTAAGATGCAAAGTAGTCATCAATGCACATGTCTCTCAGCACTTATCTCCGACCACCACCCCTCCCACCTCTGCCAAACCCACCCCTCCCCCTCGGACTCCTCCCCTTCTCAACCCTTCCACTCGGACCGCGCTGCTTCTCCGCACCAAGCCCCTTTCGCTGGGTCTTCATGCCACCACGGCCCATGCCAGAGCCGGACTTGGCTTTCCTAACCTCTTGCGCATCCGCACCGTCGTCCTCCATGTCCATGTCATCGTCGTCCTTGGTTCTCTTGTTGCTGAACTTGAGCTTGTTGCGCTGACCGCGTTGAGCGGCGTCGCGTCCGCGGATGGCGTCGACGTAGGCATTGATACCGGCTTCGAGGGTGGTGTTGTCTTCGTCGAGGTCCATGTCGATATCGTCGTTCTTGCTTGACTTCTTGAACTTGACGCCACCTTCGTCGTCCGAGTCGCCGAGGACAAGCTTGCCGTCTTCGTTGGTGCGAGCTGCGGTCCTCTTTTGTGGTTGCTGACGCTGGCGTAGGGGTTTTGTAGAGGAGATGTTGCCGAGAGCCTGCTTTGAGAGCAGATCGAGCGGCTCATCCTCGTCCTCAACAATGTATGTCTGCCCGCCCTTTGCCTTGCCAGTGCGCTGTTTGCTCTGGCTCTTGACAAACTCATCCTCTGAGTCGCCTTCTTCGCTCTCTTCGCTATCGCTACCGTATACAGCCTGATCGTATTCGCTCTCGAACTTGCCTTTCGGCTTCTCAGCCGGAGCCTCGCCATCCTCCTCAGCCTGCTGCTTCTTCTTCTTGCGCTGCTCACGTGTCTTTCGAATATTGACTATGAGCTTGCGGTCCTCAGGAGGACAAGCACGCTCAACATCCTCGGCACCGAACTTGCGGACTAGACGCTCGACAATGTGCTTGACCTTGGCTTTAAAGTGCGCCTTGTGCTCGTGGCTCCAGACCATCAGGTTCTTTAGGAGGTTCTGCAGACGAGGGCGAACAAGAGACTCAGGTAGTGTGATTACCTCCACTTTGACGAAGCCAAGCACACTCTGAACGATCTCCCTGTTGGGGTTCTGCAGGAAGATGTCCATCAACTCGAGCAGGTTCGAGATCGTCTCGTCCGATATCCTCGAGTGGAACTGGTACAATATGCGAGTCACCGCTGTGATGGAAGCAGAGATCATGTGAGGTGTCGAAGCGGCCAGACCGGCTGAAACCATAGTGAAGTACTCCTCAAGAGATGCCTCGACAGTAGGTGCATCTGCAGGCATGTTGGGCACCTTGGTCTGTACGACCTGGCCACCCTCAGCCATCTTCTCGCCCATAGCTACAAGCAGATTGTACGCAGCTTCACGCGCCTTTTCGTTGGTCTCCTTGGCCGAAATGACAACCTCAGAAAGAACTGAAGGGATGAAATGGAGGTCACTCTGTGGCAGGAACTCAATAACCTGTGACATGGCAAGCAGTCGATCGCGACGTGCAGGCCCTGTAACTTTCTCTGAACTTTGCAGCAACAACTGCTGCAACTCGCCATTGCGTGCCTGCAATGCTGACTTACCAATCTCGGATTCAGAGAGACGAGGGATAAGCTTGTAGGCCTTCTTCTGCAGCTGTGGGTCATCATCCTTGTTGATCATGATCTCGGCCATGCGGAAGAGCGAGCCGTAGCTGTCGCGTGGGAGGTAAAGCGCAATTGTGATGATCAGGTCCATGAGTGTGTGGCTCATCGGTGGCATCTTGTTCGCGCCCTTGCCTTGCTTCTGCTTGTCAGCCTGTGTCTGCGGGCCAGCCTCAGGAATAGCTTGCTCGAGGTTTGAGGCTACACGCTCGAAAGTCTCGATAAGCTCCTTCTCAGGGATGATGCTGAGAAAAGCGTTGATGGATCGAAGAATAGTACCTCGGTACTGCGGCAGTGTCTGGCTGTATACATTGAACAAGACTGCAAGCATATTGCTGGCGAAGCTTGCCAGGTACTCGAGGTTCTTCTTAGCATCGGCCTTAGAGACTCGAAGCTGCTTGACAAGATCATCGTCGCCGTCCAGCTCCACAACCGTCTTGTTGCTGTCAACGAGATTTTGGAGCGCCTTGCAGACGTCGGTACGTAGCTCGGCCTGGCTGTAGAGCAAGTTTGCCAGCATCTCGCAGAACGATTGGTCGAAGGCCTCGGTCAGGTCCAAAGGTAGGTCGCAGTAACCAGGAAGGATGGACCAGATTTGCTGAACAACGGTCTCGAAAACCTTGATCTCCATAGTCTTCTCCCTCTGCCCGTGATCGATGACCCTTTGGAAGAGCTGCTCACTGAGCGGTACCATCACAGTCCGGAAGTGTGCGAGTTTCGTGTTGTGTACGGCATCGCGGAGAAGAGGCAACATCCAGACTCGGCCGGTCTGCCCCGGCGGCGGGCGGGGAAGGTTCAGGGGGAGAACATCAAGCACAGTGTCAGGACCCATGGAAGCAATGGCCCTCGAAATGACTGCATCTGCCTCCTTCTTTCCAGAGAAGCTCTCGTTGCTCCTCAAATCTCCAACAACCCTCAAGACTGGCCTCAAGATGGGATCTGAGCGCCACCTCAAAGTCTCAAACATAGCTGACAACATGCTGAACACCTCCATCCACGCAGCCTGGAACTTCACGCTCAGCAAGTTCTGTGCTATCTTTGCAATCTTCTCCAGTGTCTTCTCGTCGTAGATCGATGGCTCCAGGATAACGCTGTCGGGGATGATGTTGACCAGGAATGAGATCAGGCACTCGGAAGCAGAAACCCGAATGTTGTGCGAAGAAGAAACCAGGAACTCAGACACCATCGTGAAAAGCTCCGGTAGCTTTGCAAATGTGTCCTCGGGCTCAATCTGAGCAGCAACTTCGTAGCCTCGCGAGATGACGGCGATCCAGGGTGGAAGCAGCTGCGAATCGTTCTTTGAGGGCTGCAGTTCGGAGATGACCTCCAAAAGGCGGGGCAGCTTCGCAGATGCGACCTCGTCTGAAGCCATACCGGCAAAAATGACCTCGAAGATCTCGAAAGCGGCCATGGTGAGGAACTCGTTGGTCGACCTGGAGATGTTCAGCAGCAGCTCGCAGAGCACGTCCATCTTGCGGCTCGGCCAGCCACCAGATGCCGTAGCGATGGTCTTGATGAGCTGCAGAGCGTGAATAAGATCTGGGTCCTTGTTCTCCGCATTCTTGCCGCCCTTGCCCTTCTTCGCTTTCGCCGCCAACGCAGCGATATCATTCAGCACCTTCAGCGCTGTCTCAGCGCACATATCCGCCGCAGGGTGGTCCAGCGACGGACTCGGAGGCGGATTGGCAAGCACCTTCGCAAGCGCTTCCTGCGCCTTCTTCCTAACCTTCGGCCTATGGTCCACCGAAATCTGCAGCAATCCAGCCACAGCCCTGCGCGGGCTGATCTGCGTCTGCGGCAGCTCCCAGGCGTGCGCATCCTGCACGATAAGCAGCGACTCGAGGCATCCTATCGACGACCGCAGGAACGGCGCGTCGGCGTCTGGGTGTGTGAGGGCGGGCGCGAGACTCGTGATGATCTCGGTGAATTTAGAGCGCAGCAGCGGGGCGGGAACATGTGGGGTGACAAGGTCGAGCAGGTACACTACGGCGGTCACGGTTTCCTTGTTGGCGAGACCCTGATCAGTGATCTGGCGGCCCAGCAGAGACAGCAGGGCGGCGAAGTATGCGGTCGGTGTGAACTCTGACTTTTGCTGGCGGAGCGTGTCCTCGATGGCAGAAAGCACCACTTGGGACTGTACGGGTTAGATGTGTTTAGAAAGTCGATGATGAGGTTTGGCGCACCTGCTGCACGCTCTGCAACTTCGGACTGGTCCGAATCTTGGTTAATCTCTCCTCGAGCGACATCTTGAGGGCTGTCGTTGCGGAGAGGCGTGCGGGCTGCACCGAACAAAATTATGGCGGAGAGTCGAAATTTCCAATCGATAACGGTGGGTCCTTCCAGGGTTGGCCGCGGCCCTTCCTGATTGGCCACGGTCCTTCCTAATCGGCTGAGGTCCTTCCCGATTAACGACCACCACCACTGACGAGCACAAGCAATATTGCAAGAGACCTTGATGAACTTCAAGCATCATACGTTCAAACGCAATACTTCACCTACAAGAGCCAGCCCATCTGGCCAAACAACTAGGGTATAGACAAGAAACAAAATCAGCTACTGTACACACAACCTCCCCTCGCGCACAGATCAAAGTATATATTACAAGACGTTCCTTTGGAAATCCAAGGTCTCCGATGTAGACCGTACAGCTCTAGAATGGGACGCATAATGACATCAACGCGAATCTGGAGGGTGTGTAGCTCACTCCTCAACGAGCACATCATCCCTCGTTCCCCTCCCTCCAACACTGTTTTTACTACTCTTCTTACTGATACTCATGAAACTGAGCCTCTTCTTTACACTGCCTTTCCGGGCTGTGCCATCACTACTCTTCTCACTCTTGCTGGTCTCCGGACGCGACTTTTGGCTCGGGGCCCGGCTCATACCGCTCACGTTCTCGCTGCTGGCGAAGTCTGGAAGTGCCTCAAGGGGCGAGCTAGGTCGGAGGAAGGATAAGGAGAGGCGCGTGCGATTTGTGTCTTTGCTACGGCTTCGGCTGTGTGTTGACGTTGTTGTTGACTCGGCATCGTCTGCCCGTTGAGGCAGTGCTGTGATTTCTTCCTTCTTGTTCTCTTTGTCAGACTGGGATTCGCCGGTTATGACACCCTTCGTAAGGAAAGCGAGACTCATGCGCTTCTTGTCTTGGCGGGCGGGTCGGCCATCAGGAGTGGGTGATGTGACTCTGTTGCCGTTGACTTGTTGGTCATCTGGCGTTGGACTTCCTACTTGGGAGCGAGAGGTAGCTGCTGCGAGCCATGAGCCTGTTGGAGAGCGTGTTTGCGGCGGCGCATTAGGCGGTGCTAGGATTACGAGTTCTCGGTGGAATGATGCATCAAAGCCTGCACATGGGGGTCAGTCAACTTATACCTATTCAACCATGAGATACTTACGTTGCGAGAGATCCGACTTAGTAGCTTGCTGAGCAGGCCTAGTGTACATTGCCAAGCAGCGTCGGATAACCAAAGCGTAGTCGATCAAGCTCACCCGCAATGAGTTCTCTAGCGGGTTCGGTGGGTCGACTTGAGTTGTCGCATCCTCGTCTTCTTCTTCCATTGAGCGCCGTGGGTTCGGCAGTAAATCGTGGTAATTGGCAACGCAGCCTTCAATGTTCGTGTCAACAGCATACATGAGCTCCTGGGTCAGTACGTTGAAGGCTGTATCGTCACCATCGGCAATCCTCTTCTCCAGAGCAGCAAGCTCGATGGTTTTACGCGAGGTCCGCTCTATTGCTGTCTGCAAAGAGGTGAGGGTGATCGTTCCGACAGCAACAATCTCGCTGCGCCGCAGTATTGTGGGGAAGGCTTCTGCAGTTGTGTAGAGAGTCTTTTCGATAGTATTGTCCTGAGTTGTAGTGCGAGACGGCGATCGTCGAGATGCAGATGTAAAGTGAGACGGCCGCGACAGGAGATGATAGTCTCGCACAGACTGTGATACCTTTGCTCGCTGGTAGATCGGATGGGAGAGGTCCTTTTGCGGGCTAACTGGGTAGATCTGCAAGTACTGGCCTTCGACGTCTTGCTCAACACCGGGATTCAGTATCTGCGCTGCAGGATGTTGCTGCTGCATACGATCGGTGAAGGAGGTTAGGCGGTCGGTGGCAGAGCCCTCGAAGATGAACTGCTTGTCGCGCAACCCTACTGGGAATCCAAGACCCTTGTACACGACCCGGAAGTACCGTGGGTTGTAACGTTCGCCCTTTGCTATGCTCTCGTGAATCTTTGCAATAGCGTGCTGTGTCCTAGCAAGCTTGACGAAGTCGAAGATGTTGTGCTGATACTGCAAGGCCAGCTCCGCGTAAGAACTAAGCGCATTGTCCCACGACTGACCAGTCTCGAAGTGTTCGATCATCTGGAAGTACAGCTGCTCTTTTCGCTCGAACGAGGACTGAGGTGGCATGCTGGGCTCGGTCAAGGGGTCCACAGTAACGTTCGGATCCCACTCGTAGAGTTCCGCATGCAGGCGCAGAGCAAGACCGGCTTCGGTATGGTTGTATGCCTCCACTTGTAAGTCGACCAACTGGTGAACGTAACGGATGTACATGTCCTCTTTCTGCATGTCCTTCAGGAACTCCATGAGGTGCAGCGTGTCCATAATATGGAAAATCTCGCCAGTAGCTTCAGTGCTGTGTACGGCGACAAGAAGATCCAACAAGTCATCAATAGTGGCAATAAGGCCCTTCAGCGCAGCGAGCAGTGGCTGCTCGGGATCCTGAGCAAGAGGCTCGAACAGCTCCACAAGCTCTTGAATGAAGTGCTTCTGTAGGACTGACTCTGTGAGGTGCTTCGTCTTGAACAGGTGGTCGAGACAGTCGATCATCTCAGCCTGGATAAGGGATAGGTCCTCGCTCAGCGTCCACTCGCTTACGATCATGGTTTGTAGGACTTCGATCGCAACGCTGCGCAGCCCTTCGTGGACACTGAGGCATAGTTCCACGATGGGCGCAACCAGGCCAGGCACGTATTGTACCTGGAAGCCTCCCATCTTCTCAAGCCCGTATTGACTCTTATCTTCCACACTGCTTTCCCAGCCAATCGCTTCCCAACCGCGTTGTAACAACTCCGCGCCATGCTCACGAACATCCCCAGCAATCTTCCACACCGCTCGTCTCTTCTGTTCTGGGAAAGTTTCCAGAGCAAGTGCATCACTGCCAACAAGCTTCAAGAGTGCATCGAAGAAAGCTCGCCAGAGCTCTGTTTTGAACTGATCCGCCTCGTCAGGTAGAGGTAGGAAGGAGTCAGTGAGAATGCTGAAAAGCTTTGTAAGAGCTCGCATGGTGGCTTTGTGATGGTAGATGTGCACGCTCAACCAGGAGCTAGGAAATGCTTCGCAGTCAAGTATGGAGATGTAGACTTGTAGCACGGAGAAGAGGAACTCGGCGGTCTCTTCCCTTTGCCAGTCGAGGTGAATTATTGTTGGCAGGCTAGACATGGCAGCAAGAACGGCAGATATTTCGACAAGAGCTTCATCGAATGTTGCTTCCTTTGTCGTTGGCCGAGACTGGAACGGATATGTCGTTGGAAACAGAAGTGAGAGACTTTTCTTGACTGGTCGAGGGGTTGCTTGTATTGCTCGGTACGAGTGTACAAGCTTAGGCATGTAGTCGCACACCTCCTGACCCAGTTCCTCAACTTGTGACGCCACAACCGAACAGCACAGGCGCACTTGATCCTTCCACTGGTCTGTAACATTCTCCACTTGGCCCCAGTACGGCGCGAGCCATGCGACGGTTTTCTTGAGAAGTGTCTTGCGTGTATCTGGTGCGCGGAAGATTTGAAGGCCCGAGATGTGGTGGATCAGCAATAATTTGTACAATACAAGCTTGCCTTGTACGTCGGCGCAAGCCTCAATGAAGCTGTCTGCTAGTTTGAAAATTTCCAGAGAGGACATGCATCCCTCCAGTTCCGGAAGCCAAGAATGGAAGTTTTGGACCAGCAGCGTCTTGGTTCCAATGAGTACTGGAGAAGGGTTTTTCATCAAGTGCTCAAGGGAGGCGAAAAGGTTTTTGAGCTCCTTGTTGAACTGGGTACGATCCTTGATACCGATGCTTTCCTCCTTGACTCGCTGTTTCTCTCTTGCGTTGACAAGGAACTTCGTGACAAGATTGCCGACCTTGAAAGTGGCTCGTAAGCGTCGTGAGCTTTCTGATTCGGCAGGCTTAGCCAGAAGTCTTCCAAAGCTCTGAGTCAAACAGGACGTCACGAGCGAATGGAATACCTTCGTTCTTGCGTATTGGTCGACGAGTGGCTCCAGGTTGAAACGGCGATCATGGACGATACCTAAAACGATCACTACAGCATTGAAGACCAGGTCCTCATACTCATCACTGCCAGCATAGTGACTCTGTATGGCGAACAGCGCGTCAAACACCTCGCTCAGTAGCTTCACTATCTCGATCTCCGGTACGAAGTTGAAGCGTCGAAGAAGGCCAACGAGTTCGCCTGGTGGTTGCTCTTGCCATTTGATGAGCCCAAGTATCGTAGGATCTTGCGAGTACTTCGTGCTGCACAGGAAGGTTTTGACATGTACGGCGGCCATGGGACCGCCCATGACGTGCTCATCCTTCTTCTTCGCGCTCCAGGGTAATCCAAGATATGCGCCTTTTCCTGCGATCATTCCTGAGGTATATTCGTCATACCGGTAGAGAGACAGGGCGTGGTCGCCGTCCCGTACAAAGGCATCATGGCTCCAAAGCGGCATCCAACACAGTGCAAACGGAAAGCCGGGTGCATCTGCCACACTCATGACAAGGTGAGATCCAGGCACGTCTTGCGGGTCGATGGCGAGGCGAATGGTGGCGTTCCATCCTTCCCCTCTCTCCACGGCTGTTGTGCGCCACGCAGTATGCCCTGCACTGTTAGTGGAAGGGTAGATGCAACCATCGATCCTCTCTCCTGAGCTCTTTCGGACTTCGATGGTCAACTGCAGGCTTCCCATGGGTAACGATTGTACAAGGGGCACTGTTCCAGTCTTAGGATGAGCCAGGAAGGCGTTCTTGGGTAAGAATGGCTCCACAAGTGTCACGTATATATCACTGCGCGGTTTGGTTGGGGCGCCTGAGAATCCGATCTTTCGAATTTGCTTGATGTTGTGAAGCATCGTCGGCGTCCTCTCGATCAGACCTTCGGCATCTGGGTGCACGAAAGCTTTCAGGTGGACAGTAAGACTGCTAATGGGACCATTGCGCCTGTGCTTTCCGCTTGCGCTTGGGTAGAGTTCGGTCAGGATGTCGTCCCAGCCTGCATCATCGTCTGATACTTCGTCAGATGAGTCAGCAGTAGACCACAAGGTGAGCGTGTGATCCACCTCTGAAACGTTCTTCATGACCTGATTCACGCGCAAAACACCAACTGCGACGGCTCTCTTCAAAGTCTTCTGGTCTCTCGAAGGCGTTCTGTTCTTGGTAGCAGCCGAAGCAGGTCGACCCTCAGAGGTCTGCGTCTTCTGCAGGTCAGGGCTTGTGTGGCGTCCTTCCGAGGATCCGGTCGTCGTTGACGTAGTAGTAGTGGTGGTAGTTCTAGATGTCGTGGTGGATGAGTCTTTCCTCCTGGAGCCAAACATGGCACTTCGTCTGCCGCCTTTGATGCTTCCATGCTGCGAGGGTTGCACTCCCGCCCCATTGGCAGCAACACTGTCTTTTGGCGCGCCTGACTTATCCTGTACGGCTGTTCGTATTGGCTCGTTGATCATTAGCCTAAACACAAGGTGTATGCTTGAGCCAGAGCCTGCACCCTCGCCAATGTCAGTAGAGCTTAGGTCTACGATAAGTGAGCGCAGCTTGTCACCGGCCAAAGAGACCGACGACCCATCCCGTGCAGTCAAGTCGAACGAAAATGCTTCTGAGAGTGGCTGTGGGGCCATGCCAGGCGTCTTCAGACAAAGATACATGCTCACTTGGGCAGCGCCGGGTACAACATCGCCGGCGACACGCCGCAGGCTCACAAAGAGATGGTGCAGGTTGTGTTCGTCTGGCTGTGGCATGGGCCGACTTTCCAGCAAACTCATCATCGACTGCAGCTTTGTTGTCTCGATGGCCGAATCATCTCCCGTCAATATTCGACCACGCTGCGAAGGGCTGCGCACGATGACATCTCCAGACAGCAGTTTGTTCCCTGCTACGAGGTCCCAGACGGTAGCCTCTCGCACCTTTTCCAGTTCTTTTGCCGTAAGGACCTTATGTAGCAGCTGTCGCCTTGCTGTATCGAGCCGATTGACCAGAGAAGACATGTTGTCCAGCAGTGTGTATTTGCGCGCCAGCAAAAGCTCATGGACCTTTGTCGAGTGCCATTCGCGCAGACAAGAGGCAATCTCGTCAACGAGAGGCTCTTGAGACGAGGTTGGTGTCTCATCGCCGATCTTCAGCATAGGTACGGGCGCAGGCGGGCGTGGAGCGGTGGGGTCTGAGACGGGCGACAGCGGTGCCATGAGCTGCTGGAGGCGGTCCTCTCGAGAGGTCCATTGTGAGCCATGGCTGGCTGTGCGCTTCTTGCTGGACCTTCGCCGCGAGATCGGACGGGACGTGGAGGAGGGTAGAGCCGGTACAATATCTCCAGAGGTTGCACGTGTGCATTCGGTGGGGGTGAGGATGCCACTGGTGTTGTGTTCGCCCTGAGCTGACTCATTGCGCGCCTCGAGTGTAGCACTGCTCTTTCTCTCGCCAAGCACTTCGCGCACTTCCACACATACGCGGGGGAATATGCCCGAGAACACGCGTGCCTCTAGGGTCTGGCCCTTCACGCTTGTCAGGCCGGCCAGCAACGACGGCGGCGCAACCAAATAGCCGCGAAACCAGGCGCCCTCAGTGCCGCCCTGCTCAATTACATACAGCTCGTCGCCAATCTCGAGGGGCAGGTCGGCGGGCGACGAGGGCTGAAATGGGTGGGTGCATATTGCGAAAGCGATTCGCGGGAGCGGTCTCCAGCTCGGCATGGCACCAGACGTGTCGGGCTATCGAGGGAGGAGTGGGCGAGCGGGCATCACGAGCAATAGCCGTGAGGATGGGTGGAGGTGAAGATTCTAAGAATATACGGCGGAGGTTTTGCTGGCGCGCCCAGAGGGTTTCAGCGTCGAGCGCCGGGGCTGCGGTGTTGAGGATGCCCCCTGATAGGCGTTGCCGGGGAGCTGGGACGGCGTTGATGTGTGGGGATTGGCTGCGCGTCGAACCTTGGGCGGGAGGACCTGACAGCAGTGGCAGCGCATCAATTGACTCGAGGGACAGGCTGGAGTGTGCGCAAGACAAGCAAACGCCTGCGTGTCAACGGTGAAATCTTGGTGCGACGTCCGCTGGGAACGCGCTCAAAAAGTCACTTCAACTTTCGCTCTCGGCAGCAGCCGTTGGGCGCTGCAGGAACATGGCGCGCACTGACGGGCGTTTCACGCCAGCATCCCCAGTCTTCCTGACCCTGAGCCGTCTTTGTTCACCTCACCACTGCTCTGCCACACCTGAAGAGGCGGCAAGAACAGATTCAAAGCTTTGAACATTGATCGAGCCTGCTGTGTTCTGTAGGGGTGACTCCTCTCCATCTGATGCATCTGTTACAATCGCTGAACACTCTCCACAGAGGCAACGCCATCTCAGCTCGGCTCCACAACCCTGTCTCTGCCTTTGGTCGCACATCTCCCGCGGCTTTAACGGCATCTTTAACCACAATCTGAATCATGCACCTCCAAAGCCACGTGGCTAACACTAAGCAGGCCTCGTGCTCAACAAGCCGTCAGTATAGATATCGACAACGACTGTGCCGCGTCGACGGATCCATCTCTACATTATGTACAGCTGCCTACATCATCGACCTCCGCAAGACCACTTGCAGGGTGTGTCATGCACTGCCACACAGCTCTCGTCAGCTGCTTGGAACCAAGGATCATTTCCTTCATTAGATACTTCCTGTCCAGCCAATTCCAACGATCTCGTTGTCGGAGAAAGTGTGGTCAGATTTCCCATCAGTATCTGCAAAGGTGCCATTACAGATGGCTCGGTGGTGGCCACGATTGCGTGGTCTTTTGATGCAGCGAGTGCATCGTTGAATCTTGAGGCTGTGGCCACCTCATCATCTCAACGACTGGTTCCGCTAGTCATATCTCTTTCCCCTAGGACCGCATGCTCACTGATTTGGCGGAACAATAAGGAGACTGGGGTTTTGTAAGGGTCCAATTCGATTTTCCATAGTGGAATCATGCCTGCTTCGAGTGGCACTTGCACTGGAAGTTGATTGAGAGTCCTCCTCCTCGGCCGTACCTGCGAATATGGAGACCCTTACTCTCGGTACCGGAAGACGAGTCGCGCCGTCGGGAACCCGTGGAGTACCTTCTGGCTTCCCATTCACCTCGGCTCTGTCTTCTTTCGCTGTACGCTCGTTGGCCCAGGCCTCCTTCGTGTCATCATACTTCGATCTGAAAGCTGCTAAGACGTCTGCGTTCAGGAAGGTTAACTCGACATCTTCAAGCTCAATGCTGTCTGAATCTTCGTAGTAGCGGAGCACTCTCGGGTCCAGAGGTATTCCCGCCGGACGCTTAGCAGCGCGCTCGTTGGGCGTTGGCCGAAGCCACGATGCATAGAATGTGCCAGAGCCTCCTGAAGTGCGTGGTCTGAGATGCACTTTGTTATTGGAGGTTCCTTCTTCCAGCACCCAGTTCACATCGATCCTGACCGTGCAAATGAACTGTGGCTCATGGAGGTATATGCACAGTCGGCAGGGCGGGACTTTTGATCTGTCTCTATCAGAACGTCGCACAGGTCGTCCTACAGTAGTCGTTTGCGATCCCTGTGATTCTCTTCTCGTCATGTGTGTCGGTAATGCATCCTGTTGCTCGACCCAGATCTGAACTGTTGCAGAATTCATGTCGAACGACCTACTGTTGGCTTCTGTAGGTGTATTGGCATTGCTGGATCTCATTCTGCGATAAGCTCGACTCAGCGCTGCTGTAGCCGAGCTCGGTCTGCTCATCATGACGCGACTGAGCGCAAAGCTACCCACAATGTCCTGCGAAGTAAGGACGGATTGGATCAGCCGTGCTTCGTCAAGACCAGAACCTCCATCGAAAGCGAATTTGGCATTGGGAATCGCCGAACAACGTTCAGCGCTCAAGGCCAAGAGGTCAATCCATGCCTTTGAGCCTCGAATTTTGCTCGGATCCCAAAACGCGTAAAGAGGCAGCATCTTAACACCATTTCGGGGGAGATTGATGTCTTTCGGTATGTGTCCCTGGGCCCAACAGTGCAGGCGCATGAATCCAGCCTCGCTCTCCAGGATTGCCAACTTGCATTCCTCCCACTCTTTGTTCGCCGCTGACCAGTGCAAAAGTTCGATCCGGCTCAACTCCGACTCTTGAAGGATGTGTTCACCGGGTTCAGCTACGACCTGATGTGGTTTCTGCTCGATTACGCCTGCCGAAGCTCTTCTGCGGGCGCTCGACAGGATTTCGACGACCCTCGTAATGTCCACTCTTTCCGTCACCTTCGGTTTCAACATGCGGTTGATCAGGCCTATAACCTTCTTCAAGAACGCTTTGCTCTCGTCATCACAGTCTGACGAGCGTGCATGGCTGCTCTCCAGGTTGACCATAAATGCTTGGATCTCTTTCTTAACAACGTATTCTCCATTCGGCACTTCTTGGCAGAAGAATCTTTCGTCACTATTCCTCGCCCATTTTGGCATTGCTTGACGTGTCTGGTCTAAGCCTACGAAACTGCCGGAGCCGCTCAGACCGGCATGACCGAGCACCATGAAGGTGGCGACCTCCAACATGATGCAACCCAGCGACCAAATATCGTAAGCGCGGCCGAACTCCATGCTCGTATCGTCGATTTCAGGTGGTGCATATGCATCGGTCCCGAAGTGACCACCTACGCGGGGTGTTGTGCCTCTTCGGCGCCTTGTGAGCGCAGCTTGGCCGAAGTCCGTTATCAGCCAGTTGCCATCTTCTCGCTCGATTAAAATGTTGTCCGGCTTCAGATCGAAGTGGATGCATAATTGATCGTCCACACCACCGTTTGCCCTGCTGTTACCGAAACCATGTATCTTTCTCAGTGCTTTGGATATTCCAAGCAGCTGCTTCCACGCATCTGCCAACTCCAGTTTCGCACCTCTCTTGTCACCGTACCCAAACAGCCGGTCGCGGAGAAGGTGGTCAAGATTTGTCCAAGCTCGTGGGAAAATGAGGTTGATACTTTCGCCGTGGCCGTAGGCCTTGATGAGCTTTACGATGTGGTCGTCTTCAAACTGCTGCACGTACTGAATATTCGAGCGCTCTAGGTATGCTAGGGGCTGGGTAGTTTCGATGCGTTTCCGCGCAAACTCGGTCTTCGAACCAGAATGCTGGATTCATCAGCGCCGGCCGGCCAACGACCACAACCAAGTACTTACTGGAAAACGATTGTATTCGCGCTGGATTTTGAAAGCGAATACTCTCCCATTCGCACCCTCCGATGTCAAATGGCCGTCGTCAGCTCGTCTCTTGCCGATCTCTACTTCTTCTATGAATGGCAAAACGACACTCTCATGATACTGCGAGAATCGGTCCGGCTCCAGGTGAGGTATAGCGAACCGGGGAAGAATTGCAGTGAACTTCCTTGCAAACCTATCGAATCTTGTTGCGTTTCGCTTATATTCCCCCGTGAATGTCTTTAAACGGTCAGGGGAGAGGTCCGAAGAGAAGGTTGCCCAAGACTCCAAGATATAGTCGTTACACTTGTGGTCCAGGAACCCAATGATGAACAAGGGGTGCTCTACATAGACAAGAAGGCCGAACACACTGTAGTAAGTCCTGGTGAGGTCTTTAGGCTCTGGGCCTCCCATGATCATGTCGACGTAATTTTCTCGGTCGATGCGACTATTGAACATTCGCAGGTCCTCTTTACATTGTGTGCACTCGCACAATAGGATTTCTCGGATCTTTTGTTCTTTGAAGAAACTTCGTAACTCATTGAGCGGAAAGAATGACTTGGGCCCTTGCTCAATCTCAAGGTCCTCCACCTCATCCCGGGCATTTCTGCACGTCTCAGGCATTGAGAAGCAACCGAATATGTCAGTCGTCTTGATAGATCAACAGTGGTCACCGAATGTTGACGCTCAGGTACTGACCAAGGCTAGGACACCGTTCGCGCATGCTGTCGCGATTGAAATGCAAGGACTGAGGGTGTAAGAAGTGACAACCAAGGAATGCCAACAATTTTTGCTGTCCGGCTGAACAAGGCTGTGGCTGTTGCCGCCGAGTTCAGGTGGCACAGGAATGAGGCGGCATGGAGGACTTTTAGGTGGGTAGGAACATTGATGCATGGGCTTATCAATAGGGACGTGCATACTGCAACCACCCAGGATGGCGAACAGCCTTGGGGCCAATTAGACCATGTCTCGCTTCACCCTTGCCTATCATTGCTCGAAGGTGGACACCGGTCAAAGCCTTCACCAATTCCGCGGCTTTCACAATCCAGCTCGGCGGTTGATGCCTGCTGGGTGGTTACACCTTTTCATCTGCAGGCTTAATTTGAACCCGCTCCCTGCCCCACCACCTTTTGTCCTTCGGCAGATCAAGGCAAAGCCAAGCACCAAAAGTTAACACCAGAAGGACCACTGTGAGCACGACGAAAATCCACAACTCAGATGCAAATTGCAATGAGGCTGGGCTTTTCCTTGAATTCACTGTCAGGTAGCCCATGCTGAGAAATTGCTAGATTCGATTAGCCACGCCAAGGTCTGTGAAAAGCAAGTACACTCACCGAAACGAAAGAGGCTGGAAGATAGATGGATGTGAGCCAGGTGACCTTCTTCAGCGTCGAAGCATCTTTTTGGGACTTCTTCGTTAACTTCACCATGTTTTTGCTGTCGATATCGGCCAACCTGGCCATCTCATTCGAGTTCTCACTACTCGTCCTCAAAGAGTCAAGTCCGCGGAAAGAGATAATGTCTTGCATCTAGTGTTACGTTAGCGACGGACTCTCGCAGCACAAGTTTGCCTTACGAGAGTGGATCCGCTCTTCGTTCGCTCCAACAGATTGTCAACTCGATTCGACTGAAGCCTCAACTCCTCCACGAAGAGATCGATTTCCGGAGTTTCCAGAAGCTCTCTTTTCACTTTCTCGCAGATCCTGGTGTTTGAACTCAAGATATACTTGGCAGCATTGATCCGATCATGTATGACCTGCACATCTTGAAAATCGGAATATTCGATTGTCAGCACCGGCATTTGCTCAAGCTTCGTGCGACCTTCGACACGAGACACATGTGCTTTAGAGATCTGCGTTCCTATCAGCCCGGTACCTGAGTTGAGTAACATCCCGGACTTACCAAGTGAGCCAGCTTTGCCTCCCAGGAGGTCAAATACCATCGCCATTGCCAAGTCGAATGGGACAAGGCTAAGTTGTGGATATCATGCCAGCTCGGTACGCTTCCAGTCTTCACTTGCGCATCTTTGAGACGTTTCTGAAACGACATCATTGGGTTGAGCAAAATCAACGTATCGTTGCCTGACACAGAATCATGCTGGTGATATAGGCCCAGTTGACGTATCGACCATGGTTCGTCAGAATCATCACGGCCGTGTCTCTCAACATTCTTCAGGAGATAACACGTCTCTGTTGAACATTACTATATGCTCTAAGATGTCAGAACTCCACTGACCTGATACAGAACCCGCCTGCCAACTGTAACAGCCGCCAAGTGAATCGTTCGTTTCCGACGTCGTCTTTCCAAAAGCGCACACAATATCGATGAATGCAGGAAAGATGTTGAAATGATATATGAGACGACGCAGAGCACGCTCCGAGATTGTCAGGCGATCCCAAGAATACCGTTGCGGTATCAACCTGCTTGTGTCAGTCGAGCCAGAGAGTGGAGGAGAGTTCGGACCTACACTATCCGTGTGCCTTGGAATCGGCTTGTGTCCAGATATTTTTCCAAATCCTCAACTGCTGTGAATACCCAGTCTGTCATCCCACATGGTCAGTTCTAAACGCTCTCTGCCCTTGCATTAGGGAAACACCTTTGTTCCCAACTTCAATAAGCTTGATTTGCAATCGATCACCTGGGACCAATGTACGCTCAGAGTTGGCTCTCAGAAGATTCTCGAAATGACTCGTATCGAAAATGTATGGGTTGCAAGCCTGTTGCGCCAAGGACATAGGATCAGGTTGGCCAACCATTTTTGGAACGTGCAATGCAAGTGACAATGTGAAGAACGCAGAGAGGCGTTGGGTCAAGTCGATTTGGTTATAAAGTTTGCAATTGATTTCCATCGTCCATAGAACGGTTGACCCGCGCTACTGGCCCCTTCTACAGCAGCTACAGCATCTCAGCGCTTAGCGTGGGGACACATCAGCCCAGGCGACTCTGGGGCTATGCACAGACCGGTCCACAACCCCCTGCGGCACTAATCTTCTACGAACAAAGGCTGCTGATTTGTACTGTGGCTCTGTTCCTGCAGCTGATCGAGCTCAGCCTGGTGTCGTTAAACTTTTTGCTCCCCAAGACAGCCACTGTGATTTGCCGTACCTCAGTCAACTTGCGCAAGGCAGTGAAAGAAATCCTGTTGTCTCGAGCTTTCTATCTCAAGTCAACGGAAGTTATCGCAGCAGCTCCGTGGGACCATACCGTATATGTCCAATCGAGACCAAACTCCTTGACTTTTTGATCCACGTAATTTTCAAGAACCTTATTCTTGATGTACCTCCAGTTGGTTAGTGTAGTCCTGCTACTGTATCAGGTTTTGTTTGTTACCTTTGGCTAATCACCTGAATCCTATATTCGCGCGCTACAGTGTCCGGCATGACTTGTCAACGGTTTTTAGGAATGAGCCTAGGCTGAGTTGGGCTGATTCGAGGTTGACGGTAAGAATCGACTATCGACCGGTGTGCTCGGTTTTAAGCTGGGAGCAGCGCAAGCCAGTCGCAACCGTGGAAGGCAAAAGGGCAAATATTGGGACTCATCTATCAACAGGCGGCCTCTGGTGTGGAGGCACACCAGCACACGTAACCAGTACTTTTTGTGGCTTGTGGCTGCATGCCTTTCAATATGCTAGGCGAAGTGTGGGCGCACAGCATGGGCTGAGAAGGACCAACCGGTGGGGGCTAAGTGCGTGGAACATCAATATGTGAGACCTATCTGATTACGTTCTTTCCTGCAATGCCTCGCGAACGTCAAATACGACTCAAGTTCCAATAACATGTCCTCAGGTTGAATGAGTGTCCGGATCTGATTGAGTTGGTGAACAACTGCCATCCGCAAGTAAGCCGCAAACACAAGGCTGGAGCTTCAAAGAAGCACCACTGATCGACGTATACAGCCCGAATCTTTGCACCTGGAGAGCTTCAAAGGCGTCCATCCATCACGGGAAACATACAGTCTGGCTGTAATACCAACGGAAGCAGGCGAAGGAATAACATCACGATGTTGCAGGCGCCGAGCCGCAACAGACCTCACTTATTAGCAGAAGATCAAGAACTTGAACGATTGCCTCGACAGCAGACTGCATATGCATCATCAACGCGCTCAAAATCAGCGCCAGGATCGCGCCATGATGTTAATCGTGAAGGCCCCAGTCCTGGACCTAATTCCACGCACCGATCCGTCGATGCGAACTCACAGAACACTGCTGTGTCCACCGGTTTATCAAAGAATTTAACGGCGATGCATGTTACAAGCGCTTCAAATCTAGAGCGCGGAAACGTCCGCACTGATTCAGATCACTCAAGCAACACTGGTGGGAATTCAGGCGCCAATGTTCGCACATGGAACGAAAACGACTTGCCGGCACCTAGGCCAAAGCTTACCATCTTGGATGTAGCTGCACTTATTCTTAACAAACAGATCGGCACTGGAATCTTCACGACACCGGGGGCAGTCTTACTTTCGACACAATCCAAGGGACTAAGCGTCGCACTGTGGACGATCGGCGGATTTTGGACGCTGATGTTCCTACTCATCTACCTTGAGTTCGGAGATGCATTTCCGTACAATGGTGGTGAGCTTGTGTATCTCGATGAGACATACCGCAAACCCGAGTTATTAGCCACAATCCTCTTTTCCGGGTTTTTCCTCATGTTAGCGAACTCTTATGGTAATTCCATCCAGTTCGCTAAACACGTTCTTGTTGCTGCTTTCCCAGGCCTAGAAGACAGTACAAAGCTCGATCCCCGTCTAGTCCGCTACATCGCGATATCAGTGATCACCTTCGTCTGCCTGATTCACTGGCATTCAAGTAGGGCAGGCCTGTTTCTCAACAAGCTCGTTGCATGGTACAAGATAGTCTTGTTGGTAGTTATCTTTATCTCTGGTATGACTAAGAGCAGTGGGAATCAGTCAAAATGGAGCGATTCTGGGAACGGAGTTTCGACGACTGATGGCATGACGGGGATGGTGCTCATATTCTACTCGTATCAAGGTACGCACCACTGCAGAGACATCAGAGCGCAGCTGATATTTCGCAGGTTGGGAGAATGCCAACTACGTCAGTACCACACGACTTTATTAATATCGATTACGCGCTGACCACTGCAGGTTGCGGGCGAGATTCGCGCTTCAGCCAACAGTACATCCAAAACGACTCTTAACATCGGCGCTACACTGGGCGTCACAACCACTTGGATTCTCTACGTGCTTGTCACAGTAGCTATTGTAAGCCTTATGATAAGTTATACGTATTGCTTCACACCTACTAACGGATGGCCAGTATCGCGTTTTGGGATACGAGGACCTTACAGGTCCTCACTCTGACCTCGCGGTAGCGCTCAAGTTTGCACCGAAGGTTTTCGGTGGCGCTACCGGCCTGAAAGTCTGTATGGCGATTTCTGCTTTCGGTAATGTTCTTGCAGTTACGTACACTGCGTCCAAAGGTTGATTCGCCACGGGCTCTTTCAGTAACTTTCTTGCTAACAAACCGCAGTCAAGCAATCCATCGCCATACAAAGAATCCTGCCGTTCTGGCGGTACTTACAAGCTGATCAACACACTCCCAAAGGTGCTTTGATTTTACACTGGATAACATCTGTCATCTTTGTTGCTTTTGCACCCAGTAGTTCAGATGGATATAGCTTTGCTGTTGGGTTCTATACATACGGGCACATTTTGTTCAGTGGTCAGTATCTTCCCCAGACACTATCATTTAAGATACTAAGCCTGATTCAGTCCTTGTCGCTGTCGGCCTGGTCAAGCTTAAACAACGAATACGGAGCTCACCAGAACCGGAACACTCGGATTGGGAATACACCTTCTTTCGGTCCAAGCCATTGTTATACACCGTACCCGTCATCTTCGCTCTCGGAAATGTCCTCATCCTGGTATTTGCTGGCAAGACGCACAAGCCAGGCAAGATTCCCAGATGGTGGTGGCCGATCGTGACTTTCATCATTCTGTTCACGAGTGCTCTATATTGGGCTGGCATGCGGGTTCTTATGGTGAAGACGAGAGCGATAAACCCAACAACGCATGAGCAGAAGACCATTGGCGATTTGGTTGGGTTAAGCGTCCGGGTAGAGTGCAAAGGCGACGAAAACCTTCCGCCAAACATCGCAAGGGACATTGACGAGACACTAGCTGCAAAGGTGGATGGTAGTCAAAGGCGAGTCATTGTAGAGACGAGGGGATGGCTGGCCAGTTTGGGCAACTCTTTCGATGACTTCAGGAAGATGGTCAGTAGGTATCTGTTCTAGCTTTTCAGTCACTATCATGAAATCTAGCTTGCGTGACGCTTGCACATGCGTCACAGAAGTAAATCTTTGGGACTCTATCGCACCATACAATTGCACATGCATCGTTCATCCTTTCGCCGCCACGATGTTGCATTTAAGACATCGAGTAGGAGCATACCTTGATGGGATCAAGAAGATGATAAGAACGTAGTCCACCTTTATAAATGTGTCAATGGATATTACCGTGTCTGTGCGCACAACGCCCATGTTCACCAAACGCCCGCATCAACACCCTCACAAAAGCTACAAAAATGAGGCTGTAGAGCTACACACAATGGTAATTTTTGCAAGATTCCTTGGTGGAGTAGTCAATAGACCTATAAGAACAACGTTCTCACTCATACCTTATGAATGCTTTGATTTTGCGGCCACAGCTGTTGTATGTGGGCAGCAGGCTTGGCGTGCAAGGCACAGCAGCAACAGCATCCACAGCGCCACCTACTGTTGCGGTTCATGCCTTAAGCAAAGCTCGTAGACACTATGCAATTGGTTCTTGGGAATGAGCAGAGGTACAGAAAGCCGTCGGGGTTGATAGTCACCTATGCAAGGCTTGGGTGGTTGATGGATTGATTGATTGATTGGTTTAATGTCCTAAGCTTGGCCATATAGTTTCTGTCCACCCCGCCACAACGCGTTACTGTGCTTTCAATCATCTATACTATTGTAAGGGGCAAGCCGCTGAGGGCAATATGCAAAGTAAAACTTGATGGATTTGATATGGGGTAAGTCCCAGAGCGGGACTTGCAGAATTCTAATACTCCCGCTCTGGAGGCATGCAGACCTGCTCCAGAGGTGACCGGGGGCTGTATGCCCGACTTGGAGATACCAAGGCCTGTGCTGCTGCTGACGCGCTAACACTAGGTCTGGCCCATTACAACTATTAACACCACGCTTTGAAAATGGACCATAAGGAGCTTGATTGCAGATCTCAACTCTGGTTCCCCTTTCCAGGACACACCAACACCAACTTCTGGTCGACACCTATATTGTTCCCCAGGCCTCCTGGCATCCCAAATCCATCAGAATTCATCTCAGCACACTCCCAAGAGCCATTCCCTCCATTTTCAGACCCTCCAGCCTTCTGGTTGTGGAGTGCAGCCCAGGTGCAGTCCTGTTGGCTGTTCTGCCCCTCAATTGCAGAATTTTCCGGTCAGATCCTCTGCAAACAGCCTGCAACACCACCATTTGGCCCTC